ATGAAAACCATGATCCCCAAAGTGGTTGCTGGATCCTGAGTTTTCAAAGTGCCCAGGGAAAGGACCTGTTGCATTTTGTTTGCAATATTAATTATAGTTTTAATGGTTGCAATTATAACATAATACGCATTTGGTAAGCAGTGACATTGGGGGAATTAATCTGAAACTAATTTAGGGATCTAAAAATTACATGGCTAAATCAGACATCTCGAAAAGCTGAAGTGTATCTCTTGAGTAAATCACCATGAGAAATTTTGGCAATTTGGTGATGTGCATCACCCAATTTCACAAGATATACAAATGTTGATTTTAATATTTTGTACTCAGGTATTTTTGCCTTACAGTTTCTTGTATTCTGTGAATTAAAACCTTCAGTGCTCTCAGTTCACCTGAATTCATTCTCTCCATGTCCTAGCAGGCCAAAGGTGACTGCTAGACATGCAGAAAAAAAATTATGTTTATTATGTACAAAGGATCTGGCATTATTTGTATAAAAGTTCACTCACAGCTCCTGCTAAAAAGGAGTTTGAATTCTATATTACTTCTCATGAAAACTCTTAAGTTTTCACAAAGGAAAGTCTCACTTAAATAGAATGTAACTGGTTTTTAAAAACAGTTTCTTCTTGCACCTTTTCCCTTAAATGTGAACACAGCTTATGAATCTGTACTGTCACATTAGAACTCAAATTTGTACACTAGATATTAATAAATGCATTTCACTTGCATTTTTATAGTTTATAGCTCTGTTTCAGACATGTAAGGCATTTTATGCATCAATTCTTCACACATTTTATGGCTCCACACAACCTCTCAAATAGATTGTCATAGATAAGGGTCAATGAAAACAACAAAAACAAATGGCATCAGATCTTATGAAAGCTCTAGGTTTTTCTCTCCTACCAAAATTGGCAAACTTCTGACACATTGTCTTCCTACACTTGTTAATGTACTGGTGCTAAGCCAGTAGGTCCATGTCCATATTGACGTAGATAATGAATTCATTTAGATGTCCTTTATGAATTTCAGGCTATTTTTTTGGATCAGTTCTTCAGTTTGAAGACATTCAGCATACTTGTAGACCCCTCCTCTTTTGTGTCATTGGCTAATTCAAGTAAGCACTCTGTTTCTTCAAATAAACTGTTATTGAAAATATCAAATACCTTTAAATCCAGAACACCTTCTCATGGTTGTCTATTCAACACTGTCTTCAGGCTGACAGTGAACCATTATTGATCTGATTCAGAGAAACAGAGTTATCAGTGGCCTATTTATATGTGTTGGTTTAGTTTTACAGAAGATTTTGGAGTGTGTGACCTAGAGTCTTTTGAGATGAAACGAAATCTGAATTTTGGCTCCAGGTACATACAGAAAGCTCTGAAAATCTGTCCAGAGACGGGTGGAGTCCAAACTAGTGATTAGTTCTTTTGGTGTCTTTGAACACAGGCCTCTAGTTGTGTCTACTCCTGTTGTGCCAAATTAGTTGCTGTGTATGTATGTTTTTCAAGCTTGTTTATGGACTATCATATAAGACATATTTGAGAGTCCTATTAAAGTCAAACCCACTTTAGCATGCTTCTGATTCCACAACTGTGTTCATGACTCTGATTCCACAGCTGTGTTGCAGTGACTTAACTCCATTGCTTTAATGCTTTCTTTAATGTGCAAAAGCTCCTTTGTGATTTGTAACTGACTAAAGGAGTATAAATCTACAAATGGCTAAACTGTCTCTTAATATGTCATGGGAGTTACAAATTGTCACATCAGTCAGAATCCTGTGAAGTAGCACAGCCTTTCTCTCTGAAAACTGCCATTTTGAGCGCAATACTTGTCAAAACTGGCTTTTGTCTCTTTTTTTGTTTCCCCTCCCCCTTTTTTCCCCTTTTTTTCCCCCTAGTTCACTTCTATTTGTCCATTTTACAATCAGGCAAAGAATATGTCTAGTAAGACAGATCTTTATCTGTATTGCTCCCCGAGAAAGGCTGCAGTTGTTGGAATTGTCTGTTGCCAGCTTCTTGGAAGAAAATGTGCTGTTTGCTCATGGTTGCTGCTAGTAAAATGAACTGTATGATCTTCTAAGCAGCAGGAGCCTCTAAAATTTTCCATAAAATTTGTCTTTCCAGGGCAAAGTACCAAAGTGTGCAACTGGGGGAGACAAATGAAGGAAAAGACAAATTTCCTGTCCCTCCTCCTACCTTTAACGAATGCTTCGTGTTGGGAAGTATCAGGCTTCTAAAAAAGGTACACTCTAGAACAACAGAACTGGGATGCTCAAAGTTTGTGAGAGGAAGCTTGAGCTGAACACAGACGAAGATGCTGTACCTAGTCCTCTTCTAGCACAAATGGGTGGAGCCTTATTTCTGGAGAGTGCACTGTTTTACACTTTTTTCATGGCACTTCCAAGTGTCTTTTCTGACTGCAAAACTTTTGCTTTATTCTCTGACTCTGATTTTCTAAGAACTATATATTTGCTTAGTAGTATTTACTAAAAGATTAAGTGCCTAAAAATGTTTGATGCATTTATCACACTCTTGCTTTCAGGTCTAATTCTCCTACCAAGCTTTTCATCAGTCTGAAATAATGCATGACAGCAGTGGCAGAGCCTTTGGTGAAAGCTGCAGGAGAATCAGGCCCCACATATTTTTGTTACTTATATTCCCAGAAGTTCCTGCTCCTGACAGCGACTGCAGGACTGTCAGCACCAATAGTGACTATGGCAACAGTACTGCTTTGCAGACAGAGTTATCATCCCTTGTCATCACTTTGGTAAATCAAGAAGCCCTCCCCAGATATGCCCAGACCTCCTTATTTCTTGTTGCATGGCACACAGGCCTGTCCTTTGGTTCAGCCTCGTGCTTGCTGTGTCTGGACTACGGCAGAGAGAAGGTCCACTCTGGTGGTTTGTGTTCAAAGTGCTGTGACCAGAGAGGTCTGTGCATGCCCGGATCAGGCTGTCACTTCACATGGTAGCCTTGGTGGTAAAGCACGTGGTTAAGTTAGAACTGTAATGATCCTGAGGAGCAGTGAGAGCCTGGGAGGCTGGGAGCCTTCCCTGCAGCAACTAACCAGCTTTGTGTGGTGCCTTTCAGAAGAGTAACTTTGATATAAGGAACATCTCAGGCTGTTGGAATTGGTCTTCCTAGATTTCTTCAAGGGGGAACTACTGATTTAATCACTTGACTGGCCTTTGCATCAGATCATTGATTCATATGACGAAGATCTTAATTAGGGCTGAGGTCTATCACTGCATGCAGCAGTCACTTTCTCTGTCTCTTTCCTGGGGATCTTTCAGCTTCAGGAAGTGAAGTGGCAAGCAATAAAAAGCCTATTTTGTACAGTTTCTGATGAGTTGTGTGGGCCAGTCAAAAGGAACAAATACTTCTGAGAAGGCTTTGAATGAGTATGAGTGGATCTCTGGTTATCATCCAATTGGGAAACAAATCATCTCCTTTGTAACATTTGAATTTTTTTCAATTGCTCATTGTTGCTTGTGGTTCTGGTTCCCAGGACTTAGTGACCATAAATCTTCATGTGAAAGCAATGACTTCTATTTTGATTTATGTAAGATGTATTAATATATGCTAAGATACGGGGAAAAAAATATCTCAGAGTAGACCAGATTGCAAAGGACATCTTAATGCAAACAAGACAGAATATTTGTAGGTCTAGCTGTAGTCCAAATCCTGCTGACTCAGACTTCTTTGCATGTAGCAGCCTCCAACATTCTTTGCTGGCTTAATCTGTAGGCAGCTTAGGCTGGCTGGTCCATAATTTCTTGAAAGCAAATCTATCAGTCAGAACTTTAAATGTCTCCAGAAATGGCAGTTATTAACACAGAAGAATGTTTATCTAGAAGATCCTGTCATTGTGGCAAAGTAGTGAAGAGAAGGCCCTTGGCCATGCCTGAGAAATAGGACACAGTGATTATATGGATGATTATGATTAGATTTATCGCTAATACAGTATCTAAATACCACCAATGCTGTATCTTAATAACAGCTCTATCACCTATTAGAAAGGATTATAGTAGTATCAGGTCACAATCCCTCCTGTTGTGTCATGAGCTTCAGTGAGACTCCTTTGCTTTCTAAATTTCTCAGAGATGTCTAGGTGCAGCTAGGTCCACTTAGTCTCATATTGATCAACACTTCATGCCTAAAGGATTATAATATACAAAGGTTCAGCTAGACACATAGAAGTTTAAAGTTTCTGGCCTTGCAGATTCCCAATGACAAAACAGCAAAACACCTATGCACCTATTTTGGATTTTATCTCCATATTTGACCAGGTCTTAGTGTTTTTTACACTTCTTACCAAAACTGAGTGTTGCCCATCTTCCTGTTGGACATACTCTTCAGGTGTCCCTGCCAGGGGTGGGGATCCACCCAGAACCTGTCTGCAACCTCAGGAGACCAGTTTGCACAACTGGCCCAGTCTTCAGCAGCATTTTATACCCTTATTCAGACTGATGTGCACCAAAGCCAATCACAAAGATCTCAGCTCCCCATCTCTGGAATGCATTAATTATGCGAGTATCCAGACAGTTCACCCTGAAATACTCAATTGGTGTTCTTATCTTAGGACAAACCACATTATCCATCAGAGAGGGAAAGTGTGCGTGTGTATGTGGGAGGACACATGCAAAGACATGACTGTCTTTCATCACCATCACAGTCATTCTTAGTTTTGTCTACAACTTCTTACGTTTTCGCAGTGTTGCAGCATAAAGTCATTTGTCCTGATTTCTTAGTCAGCCTCCAATATGATATAACACTTGAAATAATATAAAAATTTGCCTATAGTGGGTATCTTGCTACTACTTTTGTGTCAGTGATAACATAAAGGTGTCCCAACTTTATGCATTTCATTTCCCATCTAACATGACTGATGGGTGATCACTGAGTGCTTGCCATCATTTGAATGGGTTTAACTAAAGAATTTTGTTGTAACCAAGATATTTGTGTCCTTCTGTATACCAATTAAATACACACTAAGACCCCATATCAAATTATCAAACATCCCATATCTTTATTGTCATAATAATTCAGTGTTTTATATTATGAGAAAGATAAGAGAAGGTGCTTCATCAAACTTATCAAGACTTGTGGTTGACTGAGGAAGCTGTGCTTCTTCTCCACAAGTTACAGCTCACTCTTAAAACATTCAAGTGAAATCTGCTGCTCGAAATCTGATGGGAACCCCAGCCTGCTCCTCCAGAATTCAAAGTATAATACTGACCCATGCTCTTAATAAAGTAGTGGGCAGCAATATGGTGTTAAGTTTTACATGGAACTGGATATCATCTGTTGACAGCTGAGTCACATGTGTCCTGCTGCTGGTTCGGGGCAACTTGCTCCACCTGAGTCACGCTGCTTCTACTAGGTAACATAATCAGTTATGTTAAGGTTCCAAATACATTGATACGTATCTGAGTGAGTGCTATATATGTTTTTATCTATCCCTGAGTGTTCAAACATGTTGGATAATCTGGACAAACAGGCTGTTTTGTCTACAAACATCAGTGAAACAAAATGAAATGAACAAAAAACCTATCACTGAGGTGAGAATGGTGGCACATTGCCCATACTCCATCTCCACCTTCAATTTCAAAAAGACCTCAGATGGACCAGCATTCATGCCTTCGTGGATTTTGACACTGGTAGTAGTCATTTGCAATGACTTCTGGGAAGGGTAATGAGAAATACTGATTTACCAACGATCCTTTCAGCAAACCCTTTGGATCCCTAAATCACCACAACAATTCTCTGGACTTGGGTTGCTTCACCACTGACCATCACCTAGACCAGGCACTGTATCAGTTCTAATTGGAGCTGTCATAAGGCAAGCATACACTGTGTAATGAAGTGGACTGGTATCACCAGATAGTATGACGTCCTGTAAGATGTGCCAGCTCAGATATAGTAGGAGCAAAACTATGGGAAAACATCAGTCTTTTGGAGTAAATAACCTTCTGTAGGGTTATGCTCTAGCAGAAACTTTTGGCTTCCTCTTTTCCCTCCTGACCGTTGTTTTCTGTGGTCTCTTCTCCCAGGTAACAAGCAAGAGAACCAAGAGGAAATGGCTTCAGGTTGCAACAAGGAAGGTTTAGATTGGATATTAGGAAAAAATTCTTCACTGAAAGGGTTGTCAAACATTGGAACAGGTCGCCCAGGGAAATGGTGGAGTCACCATTCCTGCAGGTATTCAAAAGACGTGTAAATGTGGCACCGAGGGACGTGGTTTAATGGTGGATTTGGCAGTGCTGGGTGAACAGCTGGACTCAATGATCTTAATGGTCATTTTCAACATAAATGATTCTGCAATTCTATTCTATAAGGAGTTGTACATCTTGTTGAGAGGTCTTGGGTGGAGATTGTAGAAATTCTTCATAACCAAAGAAAGGGTTACTAATCCACTTCTTACACTTTCTCAGAATTTCATCTTTGTTGAAAACTATACTCCTTCTTCTCAAAAGATAAAAAAATACACGAATGTGACTAGTTTCCCTTGCAGAGGGATGTTTTTGGAAGAAAATATGTCCTTGTATTAAAGTTCTTACGTGCAGTTCTTCCATCTACATAACAATCAGAAATTTAGCTCAGCTTCACTGTAATTCTTGCTGTCCTTGGGAAAGTAACCTCCCAGGTAAACAGATATGTCTTTTCCATTTCTAAAATCTGTACAACACAATTGTGACTGTACTTTTGTCACAATGACAAAAAGAAAAAAGAGAGAGCATAAGTGAGAAGAAGAGCAGTACAACCAAAATACTGCCTGGTATGAACTTCTTTAAGTAAAACCTGGTTTAGTTGATGTCCCTGCTCATTGCAGGGAGAGTAGTTGGACTAGATGACCTTTAAAGGTCACTTCAAACTCACACTATTCTATGATTCTATAAAAATATTATGCAGTCAGGTCTGCAATAGTCACAGCCAATCTTGGAGACAATGAGAGAATGGATGAAATCAGTCTGTCCTTCCTTATGTTTATCGAAATCAGAAATCCATGTATGAGCTGGATATCTAGTGTTCTTACTGTTTATATGGAGAATAAAACACACCTGGAAAATGAGTCATCTAATCCTAAAATAGATTGTGGATAAGATATATCAAGTGAACCATCATTTGGAGAGTTCTGTTTCTCTTCAGTGACTTCAAGACAGCTGAAGGTGACTGCCATTACAGACCTTATACATGATATTGGATTGTCTGAAGTCAGGTGACATGAAGTCTATATCCTATGTTATAGCTGAAATAATTGGGTTAGTATATGAAAGTTTCACAGCCCAGTAAAGAGCGTACTAGGTCTTCTGAGTCCCACCAGTAACAAAGCAAAGAGAGGTAAGTTGATTTCTTACCTGACGTAAAGCAGCAAGATCCCATTGGCAAGGTTGCAATGACTCAAGGTTTCACTTACTAAGGTGAAGATCTGTCTATTATGTTTTACATTTTAGCAGCTGGAATCAGGTTCCTCTCACCTCATTACAGCTGACTTTGCAATCCATGCTGGCAATGGAAAGCAATGAGAACCATTAGCATGGGATTCACTTGACCTGTCTTAAAAATCTGCTCAAGGCATAAAAAAGTAACTCCATAGTTTGTGTTAATTAGATTGACTAGATGGCCATTGACTCTAAGAACAATTTATGGTGCTTAACTCCTGTGTAAATGTCCTCATTGTACCTTTCAACCATCAGGCAAATGGTGTTCCTAATACAGAAGGAATCAGTAGCTGATTCCACCTTAAATAATCAAGCTCACAGAGGAAATTTAGAGAATCCTAAGATTTATATAAAAAAGCTATTATTTTATTTGGTGCTCCTACTTCTGACCCATTTTGCTCCTCATACAGCTTCCATTCTTATTTTTCATTGGAGTAGCATGGGACATGTGTATCAGGGTAGAGAGAACAGAGCAGGGCACATTACTTCTCCCAGTAAAATAGACTTCGGTTCTGCTGCATAATTTGCAGAAAGCATTTAGCATGCCTGAAAAGCAAACTACTTCAACTTAGGTGTCTTCCATGCAGTTTGAGTGCTCTTGTCCCAGGCTTCAGCTGTGAAGAAAGGGTGGTTGTGATATTGGGCTTTGTGTTGGAACATAAAGTAAAGAAAACCCTCCCACTTTTACTACCCAGAAAAAAAGGATTCTCTCCTCTCTCTCCTAACTACTACTCAGATTTTAGAAGAAGAAAAGGCTAGCACATTTTTTGGCACAGAAACACTTCCAGATTGTGTCTTATTTCTTTGAACTATGCAGGCTAAGATAATGATATAAGGATAATTATATTTCATGCTTCAAACTGAAGTTGATAGGAGAGAAATATCCTTCTGTGTGGAGCTTTTACATCATGTTTAAAACATCTGTTATTAGCTGAAGCCAGAAAGACCTATGCATGTATTTAATGAATATATTTAAAGAATGGAGAACACAAGTAGCATTAAAAAAAAACCAAAAACAAAACCAAAAAAATCAACCAAACCTTTTTTCTTTATATTAACTAATCTGATATTTTAGTTGCATCAGCAGTAAAATCACCAATGATATATCCCACGCTGATCACGAGTGTATCAGAAAAATAATTCATGAGCAGCTTCAAAACATGCACTTTCCAGAAAAAGATAACGGTAAGATTATTTTTTTCACAAAACTCCCCAAAGGTTCTTACCACACACACAAAAAAAAAAAGCTTCAAGAAAAATAGAGGACACTTTCTTTAGAAACAACCTCACCAAAATGTAAAGAAAATGCAATGATTTAGACTACTAATTATAAAATGAATCTTTCAATTCTGCACACAAAACAGATTTGGACTAGAAATCAGGAGGCTGTTTCATGAGGGCTGCTGAGCTTCATCACTGAGGGAGACCATGGTAGGGCTGTCTATAGCCAGGCAATGCCTCTTTACAACCCCTGTCACTATTCAGGAAGCTGAGCAGTGATGTGTTGAAGGTTATTTCAAAATTAGTTATTAGATAGACGGTTGCAAAGGGCCTGGGTTGACCCTCTTTTAGGTTTTGTACATTGTGAGACCATACTTAGTGAACATAGATTGTGTGATTGAATAAATAATGAATAAGGAAACTTTTTGGAACTTCAGGAGAAGAATTCTTCTGCCGGTCTTTATTGCTGGGAATGGAGCTGGAGGAAGAGCACTCCAATAATGCAATAGTAAGCAGTAAGACTGGGTTGGCATTTGGCTCTCTGCTGGGACATGAAGCAGCAGGACTTCTGTGCGACAGCTGTCAGGACAAGACTAGCAAAATGCCTAGTGAAATAAATGAAACCCATCTCCTGGAAATGAAGGAAGGTTGTGGATTGAGACTGATTATACTGCACCCGAAATATCTGTGATATGAAATCCTTTTTCTTTCATCTTGTTTCACCTATAACACTCTTGCTGCAGGTGCTTTCATGAGAGGAACTGAAATGTAATTAAACCTTATGTTACCAGATGAATTCCTCTGGAAGAAGAAGGAATTCCTTTGTTGCCTTCCTTTATCCTCCAGAATAGATTTTGTAAAATTCTGGACATTTTGTTTTTCTTCTTGTCCATTAAACTTACAGAATGATTGGACAACTTATTATCTTTTTCTTTCCTGTCCCTCACTAGTTTTGATACTTTACATTTAATCACTGTGAGGTCTTAAAGGTGTGATAAATAAATAAATAAATTAAAAGCTAAAATTTTGGAGTTAGTTCCAAATTTGTGATTTGTAAAAAGGGATGGAATATCAAGATCACTGGACTCAGTAAAGATAGGTCTTTCACACTGTTAGGATAAGAAAGGGCTGCAGAACATAAAGTTGTGGCATTTACAAAGGAGTTGGGGCAGCATCTGACAGGATATCTGACAAAGCAGTTTGCTTTTATGCGTCTTGGTGTGTGCAACACAAAGCTGAGCGCTGGCAGAAACTCTTTGAGTGAAAAGATGTTATTGGGTCCCCCTTGCCCCTGTGACTGGCAACATGACTGTGGCTGACTGATTAGCGAAATTGCTGATCATCACTTTTAGTCTTGAAATTGTGGGGCTGTGTTTTTGTTTTGTTTTATTTTGTTGATAGAGAACAGGATAATAATTCATGATGAGACCATATAGGCTACAATAAAACAACCCCATAAAACAAAAACCTTTGCATAGCAGTTGGTATTCAGTTCTCTGACAGGCAGAATTTAAAATAAAAGGTTGCTAACATTTTGGCAGAGTTTTCCTCAGGCTTTCTCTTGTATTTCTGCCAAATATCTCACAAGGCTCAGATTTGATTAAAATGGCAATGCTCTCTGCTACTTGCATGTAATTAGAGCCATTCATTACAGCTTTAGTTGACAGTTTGGCAACCTGTACATTTTTCTGAATATGGACAGTATTCCATGGAAACAGTTCAAGGGAAGAGTGCAGGAAGAGGGTCCTCTCTTGAACTGCGGCAAATGGAAGGCTGTCTATGTTTAGAGAAGTTTACAGGTTTCCAAACTGTCAATCGAAGCTGCAAGGAAGAGCTCTAATTAGATTAACCTAGCAGAGCACTACAATTTTTGTCAGCCAGCTCCTGAAACCTCCTGCTGCATAGTTATCACATATGCTATAGGGCAATTAAGTATTTCTATTGCAAGTCACTCTATTTTGCTGCTATTAACCCTAGCCTTAGAACACTGTTGAATGGCAAGTAAATCAAGAAAATGTAAACCTTCTCTGCAAGCCAGCTTTTTGCAGAACTTAGGATAAGATTTTTAACCTGTTTGAATTTCCCACCCTTTCTAGTATGTGTAAAATAAAACATGACTCCAGTCAGGTCAGAGCAGTCCTGAGCTTCTTTCAGATTCCAAATGAATTGTATCTTTCAGTTCAAAATATTAAGTCAACTACTGTTATTTTCATTTTGCGTTCTTCTGTGCCGTGTCCTGAAGATGATAAAACACAGAAAGAAATATCATTTAAAGTATCCTCCAAATCATCTGAAAACACAAACCCTGTGGATTCCAATCAGTTTTTCTTGTGATTAAAGTAGAAGCGTCTTAGTCCAAAACCTGATGAGAACAGCTCTTTGTTTTCCTTGTGGCTCATCACTGTTAAAAGGGAAAAGGAAAAGAGCAGAATAATGGACGGGGCAATCTGTAGTTTGATTTTTTTCATTGCTTGTTGCCGGGCTACCTCACTGTGCAAACCAGGGGATGATAGCCTCATTGCCCTTTTGGTTTCATGGCAAACTGAATACCTCTCTTTGCAGGAGAGAGGGTGCATCTGCATGAAAAATGGGTTCAAATTTGGTAGAGTCTTGAGGTCATTTGTTTGTTTACGTAATTGTACACAAAGCCCAGTTCCTCTCAACGGCAATAGGAACAGGCAGACCATGAGCTTTTGCCAAAGTCTCCCACCAGACAGTTTAGCCATGTGCCAGGGAAACATCTGTCTCTTTCTGCCTCAATTCCTTTATCCCCTGACATTTAACTGCTTTCCTCATTCCCAGCCTTATTAGATGTCCCTGGGTCTGGAATGTCAGAAAACCTCTTAGCTCTGGGTGGAGCCGTGGCTTTGGGCTGGACGCTTGGAAATGCTTTTTTCCTGCTTTGGTGTAGTGTGAGTTGCAGAGCTGTCATAACTCGGGACATGGAAGGCATCAGGAAGCTGTCACCTTCCTAATCCTGAGCCTCCCCCTTTTCCTCCCAGATCATCAGAACCTCTCTGAGCAAGTTTGATGCAATTTCTTTTACAATACCTATGATGTCCCATGGGGTAGTTGTTTGTTTTGTCTGCTCTATTTAATTTCTCTTAATCCTTGTGTATTTTTATACCATGTTAAATACATCAGATAAGAAATTAAGGGAAGCTAAGTGAAACAGCATCCTTACTGTCACAAATGTAATCACAAATGATTAACTATTATGCAGTATTCTCTCTTTCCAACTTTTCAGCTCATCATTGCAAATCCACTTTATTTCCTTCCCATTCTTCTTGGGACCTCCCTCTGTGTGATCTCCTTTCTTTCCCATACAGAATGTAAACAACAGTTTTCAGGTGCTGCTGTTTGGCTGGGCAGAGGACCTCACAGGTGATACCTACTCAAGTGATTCCAGCTCATAAAATGGGATTTTACTGGCAGGCCAACTGTACTTGGTACTCACCTCTGCACAAAGGTGTCACAGTTGTGTTACATTCTCCCATGGGTTAGTCTGTTTAACTTCTCATGGGAATGCAGTAAATACATTGCAGTGCTGAGAGTTTTCATATTCCTCAGAAACAATTTTATGCAGTTCTGTCTGAAAATGTCTCTAAAATGTATATGCACTTAGATGAGAAGCCACTCAAATCCTTAAGAAGCATCCTTAGTTCCGTGTGTTCTTTTACTAAGCCACAAACATTAATATCTGTGTTGAATATGAAAAGGAAATTGAAACATATGTAGGTATGTATATGTAGGTGTAGTTAGTACACAATTTGACTCTGAGACTACATAAAGTCGATTGAAGTCAAAATAAAATTTTCTTTGGAGAGCTCTGTTTTTATCTTGGTTTCTATTATTATTTCTCTTATTTCTAGTAGCTCATTTGTGGTTCCCTTGTCTGTATTGCAGTCTGCACTGAACACATGACTTAGACAGAGACGATCACAAATGGGCTTCAGATGCATTCCCTACCCGACTAGGATGATCAGCAGCACTTCTTTCACCTGATGCATGGGAACTGTTGTGGCCAAATATGTCTCACAAGACTCCAGGATTCACACTTCAACCTGTTTCTCTCTTTTCTTAGAAGACTATTATATTGTGTCATATTACAAGGTCAGTCCCTGGCATTAGAATCACAGAATGGTTTGGTTTGGAAGTGACCTTAGAGATCATCTAGTTCCAACTCTCCTGCCATGGGGGATTGCCCCATCCAATCTGGCCTTGAACCCTTCCAGGGATGGAGCATCCACAACTTCTCCGGGTAACCTGTTCCAGTGCCTCACCACTCTCAGAGTAAAGAATTTCTTCCTAATATCTTTTATCTAAACTCTCTTTCAGTTTGAAGCCATCTCCCCTTGTCCTGTAACTACATGCCCTTGTAACAAATTCGTCTCCATCATTCTTGTGCGATCCTTTCAGGTACTGGAAGACTGCAATTAGGCCACCGAAAATCTTCTTTTTTCCAACTGGATAAAGAGAAACAAAGACAAAAATTAAAATAACAACATTCCCATCAACACCCTCTTTTCCCAGGCTCAATATCACTCTTTCATTCTTGACTATTTTACCTTCTTCTCCCCTAAGTAGTGCAGGAAGATGGGGAAAGTGGGCTATGATCAGTCCATAACAGCTCTTTTCTGATGCTCTTTCCTCCTCCTGTTCTCCTCCTGCTCTTTCTGGGTTCCTCTCACAGAATGCAATTCCTTCAGATAAATCTGCTCCAGCATGGGCTCTTCCCCAGGGTTTAGTTCCTTCAGGAAACATCCACCTGCTCCATATGATGTTCCCCATGGGCTGCAGTGTGTGCATCTTCTCTGCCATGGTCTCTCCAGAGACTGCAGGTGAGTCTCTGCTTGGGTACCTGAGACACCGCCTCCCCTTCCTTCTGCAAACAAAACTGGCATGCTTATTTTGGCTGTTCAGACTCCCCTCTGTCACCACCATCTCTCACATGGTAACTGAGGCTGCACTTTTAAGTTGGGGTACTTTTTCCGTCAAGCTCTTCAGGACCACAAAGGTGGGAAATCTGTAAATACCCTTCTCTGCACAGACTCTCTGATTGGCCTGTCAGCTTGTCAGGGTATCTTGCTTTCAGCCATCTGCAGAGGGGAAGGATGCTCTGACAACTTGGTTGCTCTTCTGGGCCTCCCTGGCATCTTGCTGCATGTCAGAGTGCTTTCCTGGTTATCACCAGCCAGTAGAAGACACTTTCATCTGTTTTCTATGTTATGTGTGTGAACTAGCCCCTGACATGATCCACTCTGCTGCTTTTTAGCTACTCTGGAAAGTGTGTTGGGCAGTGATTTTACATGATGAGGTGCTCTGGGGCCCTGCTTTGGGATTTGCCACGTTTGTTGGTCAGAAATGTATTGGTGATATGCATACGAAATTATAACTCACTAGCATCAGGTCACATTAGGGTTACATGGCTCATACATTAATATATGTAATGTACATATTTCACTTATAAGAGATTTTAAACTACACAGGGAAGAAAACTCAGGCTTAATCCATTAAAAATTATATCAGAAAGGTTGCTCTTTCTGCCTCTTTCGTCCCTGTGGTGGGTGGACGTTTGCTGGATGCCAGGTGCCCACCGAGCCACTCTATCACTCCCCTTCCAAACTGGACAGGGAAGAGAAAATAAAACAGAAAACAACTTGTGCATTGAGATAAGGCAGTTTACTCAAGCAAAAGCAAAAGCTTGTGTGTACATAAGAAAAGAGAAAAAACCCAAAACTGTATTCTCCCCATCAGCAAACAATATCTGGCTGCTCCCTGGGAACAGGGCTTTAGCATAAGTAGTTCTTGTTCCAGAAGGCAAACACTGTAAATAACTAATGCCTCCCCTTCCTGGTTTTTTACTTAGCTTTTATATCTGAACTGACATCATATGGTATGGAATACCCCTTTGGTTAATTTGGGTCAGCTGGCCTGGTTGTGTCCCCTCCCAGGATCAGCCTACTGATGGTGGGGGAAGGTTGAGAGACAGCGCCAGCACAGCTCAGCAGCAGCCAAAACACTGGTGTGTTATCAACACCATTCTAGCTACCAGTGCACTGTGAGGACTGCTATGGGGAGCTGAACTCCATCTCAGCCATACCCCTTGCCCACCTAACTTCCTGTTTCCACTGAAAGGGTTATCCCATTCAGTCCTTTGTATAGTCTCGGAGCACGACAACTTTCAGTAAGTTTCATGAAGAGCTTCTTGTTAAATAATTTCACCCCCAAACCTATTCTATATTTTCTCCTGGCCATCCTTCTTGGATAAAGTAGGTATAATTTCTCTCCCTTGTGATCTGCAAATCACTCTCTATTAAGCTAAGGGTGATTTTCTGCACAGTTCTGCTGATTGAGAAATAAAATTAGTTCCCATCCTTTGACTTTGGTGATTTTTAGGTCCATTTGCATGTGAAATGGATTCAGTTCCTACAGAAATCACTAAGTTAACAAACATGCTGGACACAAATGTGTAAGGAAGTTAAGTGCAGGTAGATAATTTGCTTGGTTGAAATCAGATACCGTGGCACTTGCTCCTACAGCAATTTGACCCTCACCCTTAGCCTTTCTCACTTCAGCTCCCTGTAGCACAGCTGTCATTCTCAGCTCTCCCTCTCCTCTCAGCCGTGTGACCAAGGCTGTGCCTACACCCTGGGTGCCAGAGCCAGCTCCAGACTCACTGCATGGTGTTAATGTGTTGCCAGTTTCCCAGAAAGGACTTGATCCCCTCTAAGGCAGACTGATGAAATTGCTTAGGCAGCTCTTGCCCTCTAAGTGCCCACTCTCTTCCTCTGAATTTGAAGGGTTTATGTGTGGGTATCTACACTGCAGATAGTGTTTCAATGCTGTGCGTGTAAAACATGAGAATTGCAGTGGTTTGTAGCCTAACAGGGCAAATGTGAAGATAAATACTGTGCTATTTTAATCAGATAGTTGGCTAGGTAGCACTTTTGGGCTTTTAAAAATTCTGTTCCGTAAATCCTCTCTGCAGTTCATGTTTGATCAACTAATTTCAAGTTTTCCAGATTTTATAGAATCACAGAATCCTAGAATCATTTAGGTTGGAAAAGGCCAATCATTAACCTAACACTGTCATGTTTATATGTCCCTGAGGGCCATATATACATATTTTTTGAGCACTTCCAGGTACCATGATTCCACTGTTTCCCTTGGCAGCCTGTTCCACCCTTTCAGTGAATAAATCTTCCCAAAAATCCAATCTAAGGCTCCACTGATGCAACTTGATGCTGATCACAATGAGGTACAAATAAATTCTTTGTATGCATTGATTCTTACGAGGAGCTGGATGTAATTGAAGCAATTTGAAGGGGGGATTCATGACCTTTAAAGAAAGTGTGACAGCTACAGAAGCAAAGCCACATTTTGGCCCATATGCTAACATAGCTACCCAGTGCAATAGGTAGGTTTTCAACTGTGCTGAACTTCCCAGCACTGGGAAGAACGCTTCTATGGGTACTAATATCTTTAGCTTGCCATCCAAGCTGAACAGTGCCTTACTGATGAATTCTGGCCCAGAAACAGAGACCTGAAGCCATACCCCTGCATGGGCTCTGGGTGAGTGAGTATTTGTTGCAGAACATCAGTAACACTGCATATTAGATAATTATGGATATCTGCCTCCGTTTTGGCAATCCTGAGGGCTCATTGCTTATGTGCCTTTGGCAGTGCTGGGATCTGTTTTATTTTGTGCTGCTGTGTACTTCCGGAGGCTGGAATCCACACGTCTCTCTGAAAAGAGAAGCAGATTTTCTGTGGATCAGTTCTGATATCCCAGCTTTGTCGTGGGAGTTTTGCCTGACCAGATGGGTGAGTGGCAGCACATGGTGTGGCAGGGGCACAACCACACGAGGTTGCCCAGTCAATATACATATGCTGACTGGCCACCTGGCTACCATCTCTGGCCACGCACAGTGGCTGGATCTCTTTGGTAGAACCAACTTGATTAGTTTTCCTTTACCCAAACAAAAAACTTGGACAAGTATTTCATCTTTGACATCTTCATCCACCCAGTCAAGTATAAATAAAAATACTTTGTTGCTTCAAAAGAGAGAAGGAAAGAGAAATGTATGAGTAGACAGATTGTGATCATCTAAACCTTATTTCCTTAGGAACCTAAAGTAATCATTGCTCTCCAGAAACCTGAAAAATAAGAAAAAACTCGTTGGAATGTTACAGAGGGGTATATAATATAAAGGGTAAAATATGTCCTAGGTTTATTATTTTGGTTCAGAGTCGTAGGATTATGAACCCAAAGCTGGAATACATATTGGAAGGAATTTGATTTTGGTGACTGGAAGTCAAAACATGGCCATCTCAACCCAAATTTCCTTCCTTCTGCACAATTTCCTGAGGTAGGGTTTAATGTTTTCCCCGGAGAGAAAAATTAAATATTTTCTTGAAGAGCATTTGTAAAACTAAAGAAGTCTACATGCTTGCGACATCAAATCACAAATGGAGTGCTATATTGCCCTGTGGGCATGAAAATTTCAAGCTCTTTAGTACACTATTATAATAAGTTTAAAATTCATTTCTTGCAAACAGTGTAATTCCAGGAGACACTTTAGTTGTACTTTGGCTTACAGATTGTTATCACAGTTATGGAAAGAAAAGAAGAAAATATTTCTCTTTCCAAACACCAGAATCAGACTGACAGGCCTGTGCTCTCTTTGAGGGATCAGCGGTAACTTCTGTTTTCCTTTGACTGTAAAACTGCTTTCCAACTCTTATGCAAAAGCATTAATCTTTGTTAGAAACAAAGCAAAGCACATCTATTCATAAAAATCCCTGTGAGAATTTATCTCAGTATGCTTTCAAGAAACAGATTTTAAATGCTTTCACTAAAGCAGGTTAAATTAAAAAGAAAGATCTGACCTGGAAAAATAGCAATGACTTTTAGTCAGATACCCCAGTGACTGGCCTTGCTGTGACATTCAGGTTATGAGGCCATTGTCAGCATACTTGCCAGTCTATTCCATCTATTTCAAGGAAACTGGGTTGTAATAAATGGGGGCAACTTGTGACAACATAACATTTAGCTCACCAAAGCCATTTCTGACGATTTGGGTGAGAAAAAGGTAGACTCCCCAGTTCATGTCTTTGCCTCCTGAAAGCTCTGACTGAATTACGCTGAAGTAACTCCCCACAGACTGATGTCTTGAATATCCTCCATGGAGTTAATTTCATAGCTTTTCCTGGCATCTTGTTTCTGATTTGCATCTGCATTTATTCTGCACATAGTTATGAAAATTTCCCTAATTTTTAGTCTGCATTTTTTCATGTTAATGCTTTATGTTATTACTTTCTGGTCTTCCCTATTGGTTAATAAGATTGATTTATCTCTTGTCCAATATCCATTCATATGTCTGTGAATAATCCTGCTTCCCCCAGTCTTTTATTTCCATGAAAGTTTGTCCATAGTTGAAGATATTTTCAAATTCAACAACATTTATAAAATTTGCCCCTATATTTAAAAAAAAAAAAAATCAAGGTTGGAGCTAGCTGTAGTGACATAGTTGTATTTTTAACATGCTGTTTTTATTAATATTACCCAACATAGAGTTTAACTTTTCTCTGACAGTCATGGTAACTTGAGTACAGTGCATTAACAGCTTTAATCTTCTGATATGACTTGCTGATGTCTTTATAATGGTGGGTTTGAATAAATCTAGATTAATTTGAATAAACTTTCCCCATCGGACTCAAGTCATATTTATTTCTCTAAAACCCTGGACTTCTGTACAAAAAATCAGTAGTGAGTTTTAACTGTCTCTTTTGGCCTGTGAACAGACTTAAATGCAAAGTTTTTGATGCTTAATTCAAAAAACATAATACATTTTAAATTACTCAGCGCTTGAAAAGTTTTAGAAAGTGCAAGCTATGAATGCCTGGCTTTGCTGACCTAAGGAGAGCTAACTACACTGCTGTGACGTGGTAGAAACATAAGCAAAGGTAGGAGAAACTGCTGCGATAGTGGGAAGAAGCTGGTAGCTGCTACCAGGAAGAAAAACACATGCAAAGACAGAAAAAGAGACCAAATCTGGAACTGCCAGCAAGAGAAGAAATTTTGTTGGAGCCGTGACTGAGAACTGAAACATTATAGACTCGTAAGAACCTTTGATAGCAGTACGTGATTTCATAGTAACCTGCAGAAGGTAACTGGATAACACTTTGGACCGGATAACAACAATTTCCAGCCTGAACAGCTTACCCACGCTAATGAAAATGGAAATGGGCTTTCACATCTAACTCTTACATGGTTTTCCTGTGGCTTGGCTAAAATGGATTTTCATTTTATCACTGGCGGCAGGAACTTACCCAGGTCTTAACTAGGATGGAATAAACCTACCCAATCCAGGTATGAAATGGTATTCTTTGAAAACAATGCCTTCCCCTTGCACTAAGTTTTTTCCAATGTGATTTGTAGTACAGATTTCCTGCATGTCATTAATATGAAATGGATTGCTCAGTAAATCTTCTAATTTAGGCTTCTCCTAGACTAAAACCATCCACTTCAAGGATTGTCCATGTCACATCAGTGAAAATGGTCTCATTACTTGTTTTAAAATTCGGAATTGGGAGTGGTATTTTAGTCAATCCCAAAATTGGTTCTAGTTCCTAAGAGACAGATTCTTAAATACGTGCATTCAGTTCCTTATCCTGGTAGAATACTACAATGAGACTGGACCGGATTATAATTACTCATCAAAAAGACTGCTACAGAATTTCCTTGAGGAGATTTAAAGATTCTTGCAAATTTTGTTCTTGTTCCTTTACAGACAGTATCTTTTCCATTCTTGCCCCAGATCTGCTATTACAGAACCAGCAGCTGATGTTCTGTGGCTTACTGGTCCCCCAAAAAACACATAAATGCTGTACCTTTGCTTCAGCTTCATGCATCCTTATCCCTTACTTGCCTCTTGCTAGAACAAGTAATATATTTTGTGCTGTTTTGAAAGTGCTCCTGCTCAAATTGTTTATTCATGTTGATGATCTTCTGTGATAAGATACTGTACAACTTTACAGTGTCACACAGTAACCACAGCAGCATGCAGGAGCTCACATGATGGGTCATTTAATATCCATGACTCACAGTCCACAGGACTAGGATTCCAGCCAGCTGAGATTTGTTCTAAGTGGCATGAAATGACAAACAGTGCATGATATACAGCTCAGATACCAAACATGGTGGCCAAGCATTAAAAAAAAAAAAAAAAAAGGCTCCTTGCCCTCTCCAGTAAAAAAACTTAAAAAAAAAAAAAATAAAAACCATGCAATAGATTCACCCAATGACTACTGAATTTTATTTTCGAAAAATTAAGTGCCAAAATAAAGAACATGGCACCTCGGTCTTTCTAAGTGGTTTCTGCACCCTCTCTGGTCTCTAGTTGTTTTCCTTTGTTTAATTTTTCAGTTTGAGTTTTATGGTGGCAACTGATAACTGCTCTGACTGTGCTTGTGATACCTCTACCTGATTTTTGTACGTAAAACTGCAACTTATTTTCCCTGGCTTGATATTCAGCTGGGATGTTATACAGTTGCAGAGTGCAAGAGGGATTAGATGTTACTCTGTGATTCACCCAGTCCCCGAGGACAGCTATATAAAGATCATCCTCTTCCCCTTGGCCCCAGGGAAGCTAGGGGGCAGATTACGAGCTAGCGGAAAAGACGAAGGCATAAAGTAAAAAACTCACCATCTGCAAAGAGGTTCCTGGAGCACACATTCCCCTGCTCTCACACTGTACAGAACTGGGAAAAAGTGCGCTCCACTGCTCGGCTACTGTTGGTATAGCCATAGAGGGGCAGTTCAAGGGAGAACAAAGCCACTAAAAGTTCTTTTTCCCACATTGGGACTGCTCCTTTCACAGAAGTTTCTCAAGGTTTCCTTTTCCAAGAAGAAGAAGGTGATGGGAAAGGCAGGACCTAGAGACTCTGTTGTTTACAGATGCCTTTTCCCTATGGCCTGGGAATCCTGAAATGTGATTGCCTTGTAAGGGCAGGTTATTTTCAGCCACTCCCTTCATTATGTTCCTGTTAAACCCATGGCTTAAGTGGGGCTTCTGTCCTGGAGAGATTTTGCTCTGGCTGTATGCCCAGGGATAGATTGCAGCAAGAGTAGCCTCCGACAGAAATAGGTGGCTATGTGTGTATACCTCCAAGTCTTGAAATGAGAATGTCCCTGCTAGAGGTCAGGGTTTACGCTTGCCAGTATTTCCCTCATTTACTGAAGTCATTTGACACTCCTTTGCCAGTGCTGGCTATTTTTGTAGCAGTCTCACAATGGCAGGGATTTTCTCATTTCAGCACATACAGAAATGTCTCAACTTGGGATACTTTTGCCTCTGAGACTTCGTTAAGAAGTTCAAGCTCTGTGTTTTCATGCTAAAATTTCTTCGGTATTACTTGTTTACAAGTGGGAAGTAGTTTAAATTAATTTGAATAAAATATTTAGTTTCATTTTTATGTGTTTTATCTAAGCCTTTCATATTTTAAGACTATTATTTTGTCCTCTGGAAACTCTTTTCTTTCCTGGTCTCTCAGAAAGAAAGCTCTGAATTCAAGAAAAGAAAGATAATTGAGTTGTGGGGTTCTTTGGGGTTTTTTTGTTTGTTTGGTTTTTGGTTTTGTTTGTTTTGTTTGGTTTGGTTTGTTTGTTTTTTTGTTTTTAAACCAATATTCAGTGGTTTTATATTGCTTTTCAAAACACTTGGAATTATGGATTTAAATCCAAAAGTCTCATATTTGGTCCCTATTTTGCTTTTCCATGATTTTTATGGAAGAAACAAGTTATGATTTGAAAACTGAAGAAAGAAGGAACCTGAAAGCTGACAGTTGTGACAACACTTGCCTCAGCTTTCTGTGTTCCAAGTGACACATTTAGTTACATTTATCTGTCTACTTTTGCATCATCATTTTGTCCTTCATCTTTTCACATGCAGTAGGGTTTTGCTGCTTCAAAGTCTTTGTCAAATACAAAGTCACTGCTCCATGTAGCTTATTTATGATGAAAAGTCTTTCCAAAGGAGGTTTGGCATTTTTACAACAAGAACAGTATATTTTATTTTATTTTTTTTCAATTTTTAATTAAGAGTTTTGCTGTAGCACTATCTGGTATTACCATTGGCTTTACTAAGTCTTCACTGCCTTAACTTTTGTTTTTAATGTTCATTATGTTCAAATGTGTTTTGTTTTAAAATTCATGTTGCTATTCATGTTACTGAGAGCAAACTCAAAGTGCCCTGTACAAGAAGGTAATGAGATTTGTGATGATTCTCAGTTCCTTGGGGAATGATTTCAGCCTTAGATGGCACTTTGGGAACACTCTGTCCTTCCACAAGTAAGCTTCCCTTAGTTATAAGCAGATACTTAATATAGGGCCAGACTAAAATTCATGACAAAGGTTTTAATGATTTCACTGGGTCAAGGATTTTATCATAGCATAGTGAAACACAAAAATGAATGGACATCAACAATGTTCTGCATTATGTCCCTTGTTAAGGGAGATCACTTTTGGCATGAATCTTTTATCTCAACAAAGCACTTCTGAAGTAAGAACTGTAGTGTACATGAAGATGAATCCATAAAAAGCTACACACTGGACTTTTTGGGTTGTTTGGTATTTTTCTTGGCAATAGCATGCAAGGAAGAGACAGGTGAATCTGTAAACATTTTTCCTCTATTAGTAGATTACATTGGTAAAATGTGTTAAAAAATTCATCTTTCTGGCCTTAATTTCTTTACTGCTTGGCAGTCTAAGCTATTTATTACAGATTACTGAGCACTGAATCAGTAGATATCAAGCAGAACATTTCAATCACTTTTTGACAATAGATACTCCTTTCTAGCAGTTTCTATTGAGTATTGAGCCATTGAGAACCCATCTTTGGTCAGCTAGGCTCTGGAGGCTACTGTTGTTTTCTGGTACAGATACGGAAATAATGGACGGGATTACAGTTTTCAATAAAATGTTGAGTTACAAAGAACCTAAAAGACTAAAAGTTTTCAGAGAAATATTATCCAATCTTAACTCCTTAATGCCATATAATTGGGTGGGAGTGGAGGTGATTTAAAAAAAAAAAAAAAAAAAAAAAAATAAAAAGAATGAGATAATTAGGAGTTTCTCAGGTTTGCTCTATAGTTTATATTTCCAAAAGAGAAAACATTGGCATTGTCACTGTGTTGATTGGGAAAAAAATGGTATTCTGAACCCTACTCTAAGTTTTGCAGGGCTGGCAGTGTTTCATTACCTGGTCTCATGGTACACTACGTTCCACAGGCCTGTAGATAAAGGGCCTAAATGAAGGCACTTTGCTCACCTAATTCATGACACAGCCTCTCTCTCTGTGCCCACTGTTAGCCCACTGTTCCTTTTTTCTACTGTCCTGCACAATTTCTTCTGTCTTGTAAGAGAAATGCATGCAATTGTGTAGGTCTAGGTGATGTACATTTCAATTCACTTTGCTTAATAGTTTCGGTGTGTTTGCTTTTGTTGCCACCATCGCTCTACTCTGGTTCTCTGACTGGAAGTCAAGATTAGAAGGTCATGTCTACATGGACATAGTGTGAAGACAGGATCAGAAGATGTTCTTATCACAAGTTTTGGAGAGGGCCTGGTAAAACTTCAGTGAAGTTAAAGGATCTGTTTTATCATAGCAAAATGTCAAAAGAGTCCAAAAGGTTTTTAAATGGAAAGTATTGTAGGAAACCACCTTCTCATCTACTGATGCCTGACTATCTTCTCCTGTAGAAGAATGCCCCAGTGCAACTTGATAACTTTTGTGGCTTCAGTTTAGCAGACAGAATGAAAAGAATTTAAAGAAAAAGACAGATCTACTGTCTGAAGGAAACAAATTGTAGAATTCAGCATCTCACTCCACTTGGACCTTGAAAAAAATCATTTGAGGCAAAAGAAAGGTAAAGTCTGTGAGACCAGAAGCCATAAAACATTACAATCTTGCGGATCAAACTTCTAGAAAGACTGATTTTTGTAGCTGAATTTGCCAGGGACTGAAATAAATGAAAAAGTACCCAACTTCAAAGACCTGGACTGAGGCTGGGTGTGAGCTCATTTCACAGTAAACTCTGTGTACCCAGGTCTAAGGGGAATGCTGGTGACAGTGGGGTCAGTGATGGCACTAACTTTACTCACCATTTGGGGAGATGCAAACAGCTTCAGCACAACACTTCTAGGAGAAGAGAAAGTGGTCAGTAGAAAATTCTCCTATTCCTCCATCTGTCATCCGTGAAGATTGGTGAACGTCTCTGCATCTCTGTCCTGTCCTGGTCTTTTCAGTGAAAGGATCTTGCTAGCTTTCTCATAATGGCAGAAGTAATTAAAAAAGGGATAAACTTCAGAGGAACATAAAACACACACCAAAAGCCTGTCTCTTTAATGATAT